TATTTTAAGGCATGAAGAAAATATAGAAAAACGTTTAAATATGTCCTTGTGATTATCAAAGATGTGTTTTAAGGTATAAAATTGACCACAGGGTGACTTTAACGGATATAAATCTACATGTGACGAGGACATGCATGCATTTTACCTCCGATTTTAGGCTGAGCAGGGAGGTCAGAATGCCCAGGATGGAGTTGAGTCCCACCTCCCTGGCCAACTCTGGCAGCTGGGACGAGTACTGCAACAAGTCCTGCAGCACACTCACAGCAAGCTGCACAGTAGGGAGAGGGGACTGCGACTGTGTGTTTGAGAAGAACAGTGGATGCATTACTAAATCATATAGAACTTAATAAAATCCAGAAAGACCTATAAAGTGGATCCAGGCAAGAGAGAAGAACAAGCCAAATGTCTGAAGACATTTCTCACCTGAATGACCTGCTGCAGTGTCCGCAGCCATGAAAGGCAATGCTGTTGGAACACTTCACTTGAACTGTCCTTCACCAGCACAGACAGGAGACAAAGACCCTCAAACCTGAAACACATGTAATTAGAAAGCCATAAAGTCAAGATGAAACGGAAGTAGCAACAGATCTTTTCTTCCGTATTGTTATGTACTTCTGAGAAACTATTGAAAAAGAAAGAAATGTAGGGCGGGGACAGGTTATACCTATCAGTTGTTACTTGAATGGAGACAGATTTAATACGAGCTTGCAGTCTATTGTAAGAAAGAGGCAGGGTTCAAGCTGACTTCTTCAAGCCTGCTCCTGGAGACACACTGTCCTGAAAAATGTATTTCCAACCTGCTTCAGCATGCTTGTCTGGGATTATCAAGTGATCCTGAAGAGCTTTATTAGCTAGTTCAGATGTGTTTGATGAAAGTTAGAGCTAAACTAACTTTGGGGTTAGTTTAAGGGTTGAAGACCTCTGCACTAAATGATTGGAGAAGACCAGCATACATCACAACAGAGAACTCTGGTTTCACCACAAGATTCAGGTATGATGTTCTGATTAAAAATGGTGAGGTCAAAATATATATAAAAAAATAAATAAAAATAAACCATATGCATGGATGAATAATTTACAATGAAACGCATTTAGAAAATAGATGACAACTTTAATGTTTTTGCAGAATGACTGGTTTCTAAATAAATGCAGTCTGGGATCACATCCTGGCTGGTGCCTCTGAATCTTACTATTACATTTAATCATTTAGCAGGCAATTCTATCTAAAACGACAAGAATTCAGTACAACATGCAACATCATTCTAAGAGGAAGTAACATAAGTATTTCAACAAAGCTTTGACCAGAAAAGGACAGGACAGAACTGAGATAAAAGTATAATTGAAGAGACAAAGCATCAGGAGAATTCGGTCATGCATGCACATTGTGACTTTAAACGTTTATGAAAACTGCAATGAACTGTTCTTTACTTTTGTTGACAGCTCACCCAGTGGCGTAGGCAGAAATTGTATTTTGGGTGGGCCAGTGAAAATGTGACTGGGCCTATATTTTTGTCTAGAAAAAAATTACTTCAATAATAATAATTATTGAAAAATGACTTCAATAATAATTAACATTAATAGACAAACTGAAAAAACAGTTACACCTTTATATTCGGCAAATCATCATGTTCAACCAACAGAGCTCAATAAAGGCTGGACAAACCAGTATACACAATAACCTGTCTATTTTATTCTATTCAGCAGTGCAAATACAGTTCACCCGAAAATAAATTAAAGTAAGCTAAAATAATAATATCACAGTTAGATCGGCGGATAAACCCGCGTCAGGCTGACGGGGAGAGAGGGAGCAAGAAGCGGCCGGCGCCAGCACCTGACTAGCCTTCTCCTGGGGAAATGAGTCGGAAGAACTGGGCTGGGTGGACTCGGAAGATGAAGGCAGTGGCGTGTCTTCTTCCTCAACTCTTGCTTTTTTTCAAATAGCACATTAAAGAAAGTTGTTTAGCCATTATTGTGGCGCCGACGCCACTGAGAGTTTTCCTATCGGAACCCCCAGCAACCATAGCAACCAATAACGTTCCGGAGAGAGGCTTTCTACAGCTTGCTTCACCAGTTAAATTTTATTCGAAAAACAAATTAAACACACACAGCAGTCAACAATTAATCAGGTAAATATTAATATATTTTCATAAATACATTTGAATAATAAAAATAAACAAAAAAAAATATTTTTATCAAACTTTCCTGGGCGGGCCAGTGAGTAATGTGGGCGGGCCAGTGCCGCCCTGGCCCAATACTGGCTACGCCCCTGAGCTCACCTGGTCTTACTGGAGCCGAGCCGTGTATTACTGATGCCCACCAGACCACCCACAGCTCCCGTGCTCTGAGGAACGATTCAAAGACACTGCCGTTAATATAAACAGACATATGAACATCACCTCAGTGTGCTTTCAAGTGAAACAGAAAGATATCGGCTAAGACTACATATGAATACAAACACTAAACTAACGCTTCCATTTAAATAAAAGAAGCGTGCGCGCTAACAACGTAACTTAGACAAGACCGGCAGGAGAAACCTTTAACAGTTAGACTTTAGTCCTACCTGAGTCCCGACCACGCCATGCTCACGGTAGTTTGCTAGAAGAGCGGGTAGATACTCAGGTCTGTCCTCCTTTAGGACAGACACTAGTCCTTCTGTTAAGCGTGTAATGCTGGGGCCATGCAGCCAAGCCGCTGAAGCCATCTTAGCGCCCCTGTATGACGAGCAAACTCTGCGACGAGTGTATAGTTCAGGTGACGTCAACACGTCGCGTCGGCGGCTAGTTTGGAGTGCATACTCATGTGCATACTACATACAGATGTTAACTGGTTTATAAATCTATCATATAAATAGATACGTGTAGAAACATCACAAAACATAATTTATGCTAAACTTAAAGCGTTTATGTTTAAAAAAAAAAAACCTTTAAGTGACTTTTCCCCTATGTAATGATCTGCCTTTACTCGAGTCGCAGAGTTACAGACACATGGCAAACCATAAATAAAAAAATGTTAGATAATAACATCTTCCCATCGAATTAAAATGCATTTTATTGGCTAAAATGGCATTGCTTATACAGTATATTTGAATTCATGTCAATGATTTAAAAACTTAATTTATAATCAGCCCATCAAGTTTGGACACATTTGACTGAATTTATGTTTTTCATGATATTAAAAACATTGTGATCTTAACGTGGATTACTTGGAATTGAATTTATAGACAAATAAAAATGGCTTATCAACTTATTTACAAAACAAAACTTTAAAATGTTTGAAACTGATGGGCCGTATTGGAACTTTTTCAATAAACAATCCAGGATGGACTATATTTTTGTATATTTCACTAAACAAATGTTTTAAAAAAATTACTAAATCATAAAGAATAGGTGTGAATGAATAAGTAAAAATAGACATGAAATGTTAAACGTGACAGTGAAAGTAACTTGTACATTAATAGACAATTTCGCTAATTTATCAGGTTCATTTTCAAGCTTTCATTAAAATAGAAATTGGATTTAAAATAATATGTCCCTCATTTTTTTGTGATTATAATTAAAATAATTGTTCTCAACAACTGTTGACTTCAATGTGTTTGTGGGTGTTATTAAGTACTGAAATTTGTTGGATAATGGGTAGCGCTGAAGTTACCAGCGCAGCTTGTATTCTGCACTAATGACTCTTAAAGTTATAAATGTAATACATTTCCATTTGAAAAAATCCCATAAAATAATGCTAAAGCATTTCATATTCTGCAGAAAACAAAACAAAAACCAAGACAGACATGACCTCTTCTTCAACTGAAGAGCACACGAAAAGGCACATCTAAAGCAAGTATGCACACTGGCATGGTTGTATGGGTGCTTTGTTTAAAGCAATCCTTTATTTTAGAGATAGCTTTTTGTCCTTCAACGGGAGCTCCACTTTGTTCACTGCAAAATGTTACTTCCTTGTACACATTGTAACATAAGTAAATTTGCCATTGTTCAGTAGTAAACTATGTAGAATGTCATAGGAATGGGCTGATCCTGGGAGAACGAGATAAAAAGTCAAATTTCCTGGAAATCATGCTATAAATGCGATTTTAAAATAACCATCATCAAAATATTTCTGGCAGTCCAATGGTTACATAAACAGTTTCTGTGAACTAAAACAAAGAATTAGCATGTGATTTTCAACCAAACTGAGTTTAACTTACAAGCAACATTATAAATCATCACATTTTGGCAAATAAAGTTTGGCAGGCACAAATAATGAGGAATTACATTGTGTGTGTGGCACATACAGAGCCTGTCCCTGTCCTCTTGTTGTATCTACAAGCTAATTTCGCACTGTTGATTTGTAGCAGTGTATACATATTCTACAACTCAACATGTGGAACAGATGCTAAAATTTACAATAAGAAACCAGACACTTGTGTCCCAATGCACTTTGCCAACTATTCTTTCACTAAAAATGCCACGTCCTTAATTATTCGAGTATTGCGTGCACTATAAGTGCACAGAAAAGTGTTACTATGTAGTCTTGTATGATATGTATACATTTTACATAACTATAACATAAAAGCTGCTGAGCAAGTATGGATGGATTGGATTACGGGTCTAGGAAAATGGAATAAAATCAACACCAAACTCAAGTTCCCTATGGTGTTTTGGAACAGTGTATGTACTGTACAATGAAATAACATAGAACATAATATCATAATTACATAGCTATTAATGCCCACTTGATATATAAGTGGGAATATGATGACAAAAAAACAAAATGAAAGGAAACAGAAAGGAAAAGGTAAAGAAAGAATGAATCACCCCTGAATCAATGGACCCTTTGCCCACCAATAATACATTGATGTCTAGATGACCCATCTAACATCAGTTTCCTCCCATTCCTTCTCCCTCAATCATTCTAACAAATAAGCACCCTGGTGAAGTGGTTGATATGACCAGAGAAACAGAGGCTAAAATGGTGTGAAAAGGAGCTGACAAAGAAAGAAAGAAAGAAAGAAAGAAAGAAAGAAAGAAAGAAAGAAAGAAAGAAAGAAAGAAAGAAAGAAAGAAAGAAAGAAAGAAAGAAAGAAAGAAAGAAAGAAAGAAAGAAAGAAAGAAAGCTCTGACGATATCAGTAAGTGCTCCACTCTATCATATGGGCCCAGTGGAGCAGAGGTATAAGAGTACTGGCAGGTTGACACCCCACCCCTGTCGCCCTTCCTTACAACCTCTACACGGTGTCGCGTGTGTGTGTGTGTGTGTGTGTGTGTGTGTGTAGGGGCCGTTAGCAGAAGTGGTCGTCCTCCTCATCTTTCATTCCCTTCAGCCTCAGCCTTGCAAAGTCCTCAAACACAAAGTCATCATCCTGTGAGAAATTACTGAAGACAAAAATAAATGAGAGTTATGTTATGCAAACACACATAAGCAAGAATCTCATTCTATGAAAGAGACACACAGCTAACTCACTTTGTTTCAAACTCTATGAGGTTGGCGTCCACAGGGGCATCTGTCTCTGGCACAGCTATGGAGGAGGACACAGATTAGAAATGAAAAAAAAAGTCATGAAAACTGTGCAAATGGAAAATAAAAAAAATGGAAAAACATAATTAAACCTTTGTTTTAAAACATCTGTTAAAACATAAGGTCCAAATCACCAAGATGATATGGCACATCTTTGATATGACTCAAAAGTGAACCATGCTACAAGTATCATGTTCACAGCTAGCATGGACAATGCTAGTTTATAGAGACTCATATTTTTATATACACATATTCATAGTGATCCATAAAATGCTTACATGTTTCATTAAAACAACTCTGCATAAATCTAACATAATAATAATAAAATCAATAATACAAGCATTAATAATAATAAAACACAAATAAAACAATAAATACTACTACAAGTGATTATTATTATGATGATGTTGTTGTTTTATTGGTATAGTCTAATGATTATTTAGTTATTGTCAAAAAGCAGGCAATAAAAAAAACAAAAAACAATAAAATACCAATTATCAGAGATTAAAAGAAATATGTTTTTTTATATACAGTATAATTATATATTTATATTATTAAAATGCATTATAATAATAATAATAATACATTATTATTTTTCTGTTTTATTGTTAAAAAAAAAACAAGTTATCAGACATTTTAAAAATTTGTATCAATAATATAAATATAAAAAAAAAAAGATATATACACACACACACACACACAATGTCAAACTTGAGATGTTACCTGACTGCGGTCTAGAGTTGGGCTGTTCGGAGGGCTTGGGGTGCATCAAGACAAAAGGCAGCTCCACTGACACATCACTAACAACAGACAACGTGTTTGGATTAAGTCTTCTGACGTTCTGTACAAATATAAAGTCTGAAGTACTTCTGTGTCAAAAGGACATACTCACCCTCCACGAGACACCACAAGCTTGACTTTAACTCTGTAGGACACCAAGATTCCCAGGACCTCCTTATTGGACATATCCTTCACTCTGTAAGCACAGGGAAACACATACTGAGCACACAAAACTGTTTGAGTGGACACATGGGTTAGGTTAAATTTATAAGCACTAAAAACTCAAAATGTACTAAAGCCTATACTGTATGAATTGCCTTCTTTTCTGGCAGCATGTAAAAACAAGCATGTTATGCACTGTGAGCTGAAGGCCACTTACATGGTACTGGAGGCCAAGTTGGTGTCTTCATGTTTTAGCTGTCCATCCAGAGCAAGACCCCTCTTCTCTCTGTTATTGCACAGTGTGGGGGTGAGGGTGTACACCTTACAGAACGTGGAACTGGGTGACACCTGGTCACTGAAGACGGCAAAAACACAAGAGAGTGAGTATTGTGATTCATGCATATCAGAAAAACAAGCATTGACTATATTGTGTAACAATTAGATTAATTGATTAATCTTCAGTACTAGAAATTGGTTTAAAAAAAAAAGAAAATTGTGGCAAAATGCATTTTAGGATAATTCGAGGATTAATGAGAGGTACAACTGTTCTATAGTGAGATAGTTAAGACTGTAGTTAGACTGTTCTATAGTTAAGTGAAAACCATTACAATTAGTCAACTGAAAAAGCTGAAATAAAATAAAATAAAGATAGGATTAATAAGCTTATAAATAAAATAAGCTTAAGTACTAAAAACCCCAAAATAGTAGAGAAATATAAAATAAAAAAAAGAGAAATATTAAAAAAAAATACTATAACAGTATAATACTAAAGCTGTCAGACATATTACATTTAAGGACACCTGGTTCAGTGATGCCTGTCAAATAATAGAGACATGTCTGTGTGTGTGCCGATCCATAACAACCTCAAACAGCACCTTGCATGTGTTGGATCATTAAGCAGCACTTCGGCTGAGTTTTGAGAAAGAAAAACTAGTTTGACAGACTGTAAAATGTGATTTATGGGGACATAAACAATGCTTCAGGATTAGAGATCAGGAGAACATATGGTGAGGAAAGGAAAGACAACATAAAAAAAAGAGGAAAGAGGAAGAGACATGTACAAGGATCTATAGTATGCTACCTATACATGACTGAGAGGAAGTTATAAAAGCCGAACAAAGGGAAAACACCTGGGTCATTCAAGGTTGACGCTAACAAAATAGTAACTAGCCACTGATCTCATTGGTTTCAAATGGATGAGCGCAAAAAACAACAGAGCGCGGCTGACTGAACAGCTCCGGACTAGAAAAAAAGCCTAAAGAACAGCTACGGTCCTTGTTTTGGGGGGTGAAAGAGCAGCACGGTCTCATCTTGTGGAGAGGGTGGAGAAAAGGGTCCAAGAGCCATCATCGACAACTAGGGATGGGCTCAGGGTCACAGGAGCCAGAACGAACAGTTAGATATGAGACTCACCATGATGAATGTCGACCCACAGACTTGCTGTAGGTGTCGTGGGAGTGAAGAACCACATCAGTAACCTGTAGTACTGAGAGAGAACAGTCTTTGTCGTCCTATCAGCATTAAACAACTAGTGACTAAGAGGCGAGATTGGACCATCATGGGGTTGTCAGCAGCGGCATGAAGGGATCAAGGCATTTGGCATCATGTCAAATGAGGGATGCTACTGTAAAATGTCTGTATAACCACTACAGAAAGGTTGAGAAGGTCATAGACCGGTACAACTTGAAACTATTAACAAGGGAGTAACTTTTGGGTTTTGGCAGGAAAAAGAGCAAAGCTGTACAGTGGAGAATGAACTGGAGTTTCCACGGGGCGGTTGGTCTCACAAACATGGCTTTAGCTTTAGCAACAACAGAGCTTGATTAAATCGGTGAGGATATGACAGAGGCACCTGTACAGTAAACTTTAAGTGCTATAAACAGTGTTGTGCCTGAACGCGTTTAATGAACGATAGTTCATGAACTCGTTCATATTTTGGGCGAACGTGAACTTAACGTACCGTATTACTGCCTGATGAACGTTACTGTGAACTCGTTCATTCTGGTGTATGTGAACGCACGCTCTCTCAGTTTAACTTCGTTCAATAGGGTGCCAGATTTCTATAGAGCCTTCCAGGCGAAACCCCGGCTAAAACACACCGTAAACAGGCCTTAATATGTAGCGAAAAAAACCCCCAATCTGGCAACACAAGCCACCAGTGTGGCACCGCGGCCGCCGCATGCGTCATCAAAACAAAAAGCAGCATGTAGTCGACAAAGCAGCGAGCGAGGAGGCGTCGTATGATCATTTAAACAAGTTTTATGACAAGGTCAGTGAGGATGGGAAAAATCTTACATTTCTGTGCAAACTTTGCTCGTCGATAAAATAATAGCTATCTGTGGTTGTATATGGGCTGTGGCAATAAAAAAAAAAAAAAAAAAAGCTCGTGGCAAAATATGGAAAAAAAGAACTATAAACTAGCTCATTTTTTGAAGTATGAACTATGACCTGAACTAGTTCATTTTAAAATTTGTGAACTTAACTTTGAACTAGCTCATGTAGAAAATGAACTTTCCCAACACTGGCTATAAATCTGTTCAGACCACACATTTGTGAGATGCACATTGAACACATTCCTACTTCACAGGAACGAAGGCATTGAGGAAAACAGCATGAAGTGATGGCATGTAAAATTAGAAGTAAAACACAAAATGGGAGAGGGGAAATGATAACAGAAGAGATCTTATGAAAAGATGATGGAGGACTCAATTTGAGGGAGTTGAAGAGAGAGACAGAGAAGAGAGCGAGATGGAGAAAGTGGGACGGAGGGCTACTCACTCGGCTTCTACCTGAGCCACAGGACATTTGTACTGTGCGGTGCTGAACAAACAGATATCGGCATACTGTCGCACTGTGGGGAGAGAGCAGGGATACACAGCAGGGTTACCAGGGGCGGGAGGGAGCATAGATGAAACAAGCACACAGACAGGACAGCTGACATTCACACTAAACTACAGAATGAACACATCAGCACAAGAGGACCTGAAGGATAAACTCGAGAAAAGATCTAAACAGCACAAGGATAGAAACACATTACAATCACATACTCATGTACACCATTAAAGTCAACATGAAATTAAAATTAAATACACTACCTTTCAAAATTTGGGGGTCAAGAAATTAATACTTTTATGCAGTACACATAATACATTAAACTGATCAGGAGTGACTGAAAAAGACATTTATAAAGTTACAAAAGATTTCAATTTCAAATAAATGCTGTTCTTATGAACTTTCTAGTCTCTATGTTAGATAATAAGAAATGTTTCTTGATTACCAAATCAGCATATTAGAATGGTTTCTGAAGGATCATGGGACACTATATATTTTTAATATAAAATATAAAAAATGTTTAAAGTCAGCATTGGTGAGCATAAGAAACTTCTTTCAAAAACAATGAAAACATCTTGTAAACCCCAAACTTTTGAATGGTAGTGTACCAGATTATTATTATTATTTTTTAAATATCCAGTAAATATATTTAGTAAACATTAATAGATATTAAACATCTGGTTTGACTGAAAAATTTCATTACGGAAATAAATTAAGTTGTGAGCACCATTTCATGCTACCATTCAAGTTTTGATACACAAACTACAACCCCAGCACAGAAAAAGCATCATTTCAGTGCAAACACACCAGTGAGCTACTAAGATATTTGAAATTCTGTCACAAATGAATAATGAAATGGATTCATTGTGAAGTTAACAACATTAATCAGCAGTAAACATCTGTGAGTGCATGAGATACAAATGCAGGACAAAAGCAACAGGAAAGGAAAAGGGGAAGAGGAAAGCTAAAGGATTTAATATAGCTGATGTTAGCAATTCTAAAGGCAACTTTAAAACATAAAAACAAACACAAAAGCTAAAAATAACATTGTGTTTTTACTTGTAAGCTGTAAAACATTGTATCATTTCCTCTAAATACATGTAATAAAAACGATTAAATGTTCACCTCACCAGAGATTTTAACTCGTTTAACTGTTTTGGTGGAGTTGTTGGTGACATGGACATTGACACTGATAGGTTCACCATGGTAGTAGAGCTGAGAAGGAGAAGGAAATCAAATACTTTTTTACTTTTTAATAACTGTGAATTGTTTAACATAATTTGCTTAAATTGCACATTTGTTCTTTTACACACTTGACACAAACTCCTTTTACTCACTCATTCGCTTCGGTTGAATAGTGCTTGTATTGTGCAACATTTTAGTCATTCCTGCAGGTTTCGCGCGCACCACTGATCTATATAAATGGCGCTCTCATAGAGCCGCCTCTCAAACAGCTCGCGAGTACCAAATTTACTTCTTCTTCATAGCTTATTGCGCTTAAATGGTCAAATACATAAATAATTGTCAAAATGTCCATCTTCCTGAGTATTCATGTAAATACAATCAGTTTTGGAACGTAAATAGTTGTGAGAAAAATGCATGTTGTGTTGTGTAACAGTATATTGGATCCGTGCATAAGCTCTTAAAGTGACAGTAGCCTAATAAACCTGCTGCTTTCAGTCATGTTAATCAAAAGACAAAGAGACTCTTGTCTCTTGATTGAATAACTTTAGTAACTTTAATTGTAAGCATTCATCTGCATTTAATTTTTACAATGGACACTCCAGTGATTTAGAACATTTGATTACTTTAATTTCTTAGTATTCCTAACGCCCGTTTCACACATACTCCGTGTGCAGTGCGTATGCGGTACAGGAGCAGCACGCGCTATAGTGCTTTCACATATGCTGCGTGCATTTGCAGTGCGCAACTGATCCGCGGCTGTACCACAAACACATTTACTCACTTTTTTTTTTCAAATCATCAATCAAATCAAGTTTCAGCAACTTTTATTTTAAAAAAAATGTGTCACCAGTGCGATTATCTTTGTACACATATCTACACTCTTTAGCCTATTCACGTTTAAACACAATTTAAACAACGTATTATTCAATGCATTACTTTTATATGGATTATATGTTAAGTTGCTCAAGCAAGTGGTAACATATTTAACCATGTACTTATAGCCTATTAAAATCACAAACATTTTAAATTAAAACTTAAAATTGACAAAAACAGCAGACTCATACTTTTTCTTTTGCTTAATTTAAATCTTTATACAATAAATCTTGCATGTCACAAATAACTTGTTTTTCCACCTCAACGTATGAGACGATCGTCGTTCATTATGTGGCCTTGTTGAAGTAAATTGTAGCTTTCCTTGCTTGGGTCTTAAAGTAAAAAGATGACTGTGAAAAAAAGTAGTAGGCTATTTAATTTAATGCATTTATGGTGAGATTACTACATGTTATTAAATTAAATGCATTTATGGTGAAATTACTACATATTCAGGTCAGTCTGTGTTCATTTTGACCACGAACCGTGCGCTGTCACTTTAATTCAGCGTTTGCAGCACAGCCAAAATAGACTCGGTGCGGAAACGATCTCTGCACTGCTGTATACGCACCGCAACTGGAACGGATCGACGGACCGCATCCGCGTGCAGTGTGAAAGCTCTAACCTGTTAACATGGGTACGGGAAAAAATACGCACCGCATACGCACTGCAGACGGAGTATGTGTGAAACGGCCGTTAGACCTACCTGAAAAACTTAAAGCCATGTTTATTTCATTTGTCTCTTTATTTTATATATATTTGTGCTATCATTCGCAATTTATTTATTCGTATTTTATTACTGACTGTTGTTTATTTGTAAATGTAGTTCAATGTATATATGTATATATGACAGTTTTCCCCGTGGTATCAAAAAGCGAATATCGATATTTTTTAAGGTATCGTATCGAAGTTGGAAATTACAGTATTGTGACAAAACTAGTTCACACCTCTTTGTCTAGCGAGGCCTCGAGGTGAAGGGAGCGGTCAGACATAAGGAAGCTGCGTGTGGTCTCCACCATTGGCTGCGGCCCAGGCTTCTCTGGAGCGTACTGCACCTTACGAATGACCAACCGCACAGAGTTCCTGTTAAGCAGAGGCCAGTTAGACACAACTTCTGCTGTACTGTCCTAGCAAAGAAAGAAAAAACTTCTCCCTCTGAGTAAAGATGTACATTACAATTCAAAAGGGTGGGGTCTGTAAAATGTTTTTATGTTTTGAAAAGAAGTCTATAATTTATTTGAAGCAATTTATTCCTGTGATGGCAAAACTGAATTTTCTGAATTTTCAGCATCATTACTCCAGTTTCCAGATTCTCCTTCAGAAATCATTCTAATATGCTGTTTTGCTGCTCAAGACACATTAATTATTATCAATGAAGAGCATCTATGTCTTCATTGTCTATCCTTCATGAGTAAAACTATTAATTTCTTTGAAAAGAAAATCATACTGCCCCATAACTTTTGAACGGTAGTGTATGCATCGCTGAACAATATTCGATGGGGGTGGTGGTGGGGTAATCACTACACTGCTAAATAATATTTCCAATATATTGTACCTGATAAGCCAACTGGCCACTCAATGTACTGTATATAAACAGTTAAAAAAAGAAAATAAACTCACAAGGAGCAACACTTTACCGTTTGTGAGTCTTCTCATCCACAGTTTTGGCACAAAATGCCCTGACTTCAAAGTCAACACCACATGCCTATGAGTCAAAATACAAAGATATATTACCACTGAGAAAAAAGAAAAGAAAAAACATTTTAAACAATGTTACACATAGGTGTGCATTACAGTAGCTGAAGGACAGCTTGGTCAAATAGTCAGTCATTAAAGTCGTCATGTTGCGACAGTCTTTTCTTCCCTAATGTGACGTACAGTACTGTCTTAGTCTTAGGCACGTTAATATTTTCCATTAGAAAAAAAACGTTTTTTAGCCAGTTATTTGTTTATTTTGCTGTAGCGTATCAGTAGGAAATATCAGTTTACGTTTCCAAACATTCCTTTTGCCAATCATTTGGCAAAATCATGCTCCACACGAAGATCTGATCTCACCATCATCAAATTCGTCTGGGGTTACATGAAGAAACAGAAAAAAACTGAGATAGACTAAATCCAGAAGAACTGCGGCAACGTCTCCAAGACACTTGAAGAAACCGACCTGCAAATTTACCTGAAAAACTATGCACAAGTGTACCTGGACAAAAGCTTTTTTAAACACAAAGGGTTGTCATATTGATAAATATTGGTTTGATTTAGTTAATAAAAGTTAATTGAAAAATAATATCCATTTATGATATTATTTTTTTTAAAGCATCCTCACTTTATAGCATTTAGTCTGTTTCTTCATTTCAGATGAACTCGATGATGGTGAGATCAGATCTCTGTGTGGATCACACCGGCTGTTGTCAGACTCATTGTGCATACAAAAATCTCACTGGATTATTACAATTATTGGCTAAAGGAATGTTAAGCCCCTTTCACACAGCGCGTTGATCCCGGGAAATTGCCAGAACGCCTTCTGTGTGAACGCAAACACGACCCGGGATTGATGCCGGGTTGGGGACCTAGTAACATTGCCGGGATCAGTCCCGGAACGCGCGCTGTGTGAACAAAAGCCGTAACCAATGCAGTGTCGTAATAATGACGCTGAAGTGAAGTGAAAGCAGGCTAGTGAAACGGTGCACAAGCGTGGTTTCTCCAGAGAAAAAATCGCAGCTCATAAGCAAACTATACACGCTGCTGAGACATTAGAAAATGTGACATCACATCGATGTCACGTGTCTTTACGGGATTTTTACGGGTTGTGTGTGAACGCACTCTCTAATTCCGGAAAATCACTGGCAATGTGAATGAGCCAAAATCAAACGAACCCGGGTCAAATCCCGGGTCGCTTTATCCGTGTATTTTCCGGAATCTCTGTGTGAAAGGGGCTTAATATTTACTACTCACACACAATAGCAAAAGATATAAATAACTGGCTTAAACCCTTTTTTGTGTGCCTAAGACTTTTTCACAGTACTATATATCTGAGTGAAACTATCTCGAACAAGAACATGTAGTGCGGGACTTGATTTTGTCCATCAGGACTTGATTGTATCGTTGGATTGTTGTGTTTTGCTATTGCTGTGATCTCATTTGAGTTACAGGTTGTCCCACCCTCGTGTCAGTAAACACATCATCAGAGAAAATATTATAAACTATAATGATATGTCATTACCTTTCCTGTGTCCTCTGGGCCGGGCTGTAGAGTCACTGAACAGGGAAGGTTCTGAGGAATCTTTTCAACAAATAAAACGACTTTAGCAAAATAACCTGGTCACAATCAAGAAAATCATTCAAACAAAGTGAATATAAATTTTTTATAGTGTTTCACAAGACAGTTTTCAGTAAATTTATTTGGGTCTGTAAAGTTGTAGGCAAGGCAAGACAAGTTTATTTATATAGCACATTTCATACACAATGGTAATTCAAAGTGCTTTACATAGAAGAAATTAAAATAATCAAAAGAAATAAGAATAATTAAAACAGTTTAGAATAAAAAATAGAATAAAGTACAGTAAAAACAGTCGGACGAACAGTGGCACAGTGCTCATTCAGTAAATGCATAGCTAAACAGATGTGTTTTGAGTCTGGATTTGAATGTGACAACTGTAGGAGCACATCTGATCTCCTCTGGAAGCTGGTTCCAGCTGCGGCTGGCATAATAGCTAAAAGCAGACTCACCATGCTTAGAGTGAACCCTTGGTATTTCTAGCTGATGTGATCCTAATGATCTGAGTGATCCGTTTATATTCAGTGAGCATATCTGCAATATATTGAGGTCCTAGCCCATTGAATAATTTATATACCAGTAATAATACTTTAAAATCAATCCTAAATGTAACTGGGAGCCAGTGTAGAGACCTGAGGACTGGTGTGATATGTTCATATTTTCTGGTCCTGCTCAGAATCCTGGCAACAGCGTTCTGTATGAGCTGCAACTGTCTTATGGTCTTTTTAGGAAGGCCAGTGAGGAGTCCATTACAGTAATCCACCCTGCTGGCTAGGGCTGCACGATTTGGGCCAAAATGATAATCACGATTATTTTGATCGGTATTGAGATCACGATTATTTATCACGATTATTTGTTGATTTTAACCAAAACAAATTTTATTGTCACATAGGCTAATTATAACTGCTTTCACATCCATATTGTGCTACATTCCTGCTAATGTACAACTATGTGCATCAAAATAAAATAGGTCCTCTTATTCACCAAAATTCAGTGCATCTCCTTAAAGGGATAGTTCACCCCAAAATGAAAATTATGTCAGTAATTACTCACCCTCATGTTGTTCCAACCCCGTAAGACTTTCGTTCATCTTCGGAACACAAATTAAGATATTTTTGATTAAATCTGAGAGCTGGATCACTCCTCCATAGGCTTCTTAAGGGATCGAAACTGGCCGGCCCAAAAGTTAGTAAAGACATCGTTAAAAATAGTCCGAGTGACTACAGTGGCTCAATCTTAAGTTTATCAAGCGACGAGAATACTTTTTGTGCGCAAAAAACAAACAAAAATAACGACTTTATTCAACTATTCATTTCCTTCTCTGTGGGCCGTGATATTTCACGTAGTGAAACTACGCAAAGCTTCTAGGTTGTCTGTCACACGCATCACACACATGACCAGCGTCGGCCAATAGTGAGCCTATGTGTGACGTGCAACACAGAAGCGCTGCGCAATATCACTACGTGAAATCTCCCGGTCCACAGAGAATGAATGAAAATGAATAGGAAATGAATAGTTGAATGAAGTTTTTTTTTTTTTTTTTGGCGCACAAAAAGTATTCTCGTCGCTTGATAAACTTAAGATTGAGCCACTGTAGTCACTCGGACTATTTTTAACGATACGATGCCTTTCATAACTTTTGGGCCGGCCAGTTTCGATCCCTTAAGAAGCCTATGGAGGAGTGATCCAGCTCTCAGATTTAATCAAAAATATCTTAATTTGTGTTCCGAAGATGAACGAAAGTCTTATGGGGTTGGAACAACATGAGGGTGAGTAATTACTGACATAATTTTCATTTTAGGGTGAACTAACCCTTTAAAGAATAAATAAAAATAAATAAAACAATAAAGAAAATGTAGCAAAACTTCAACAGGGCACTATTTTACATTGTGTAAATACATTTTAGGAAGTAAAATATAAACTTGCATTGTACCTGCATAATGGATGTGAATAAAACGCGCAAAATATACAATCAATAAAAAACTAATATTACATAACAGAATGTAACCAAATGAGAACATTTCAAGGCAGAACTATGCACTATGGAAGTTCGATTAATGGATGAAATTCAGAGTCATTCTTATTTGACGCTTAAAGAAATGTAAAATGTTGTGGTACAGTGTCAGTGATTAGTTGTGAAATCTTACTGCATAAATTTAATCTATTTAATCCTCCATATGAAAGTTTATGTGCTCGAATTATTTCTATTTATTAAACAATAGTTCAAAACAAGACGTTTGTAGAACTGATTATTGGAGTCCATTAATCGAACTTTCATGCCTCTTATATAGTAATTATATATTACTATGTAGTATGTACCAATTTACTAATGCTCACACTCGGCCTCTCTCGCACACGTTCGAGCACGCTCTTGGACACTCGGTCTCTCTCGTGCACTGTGGCTCAAGGAGGCACGTGATCAGACAGTGGTTTACGGAGCACTAGATTGGCTTTGCAAAAAAAAAAAAAAACTTTGATACGGAGCGCTCTGTGAACGGAATGACGCATTTTAAATATCGCTCGATCACGCAAATTTTATCATGGGAAGCCAAAATCGTGATCGTGATTAAAATTCGATTAATCGTGCAGCCCTACTGCTGGTGATGAAAGCATTCACAAGTTTCTCTAAGTCTTGACTGGAAACAAAGCATCTAATTCTTGCAATATTTTTCAGATGATAGTATGCTGATTTAGTTATTGTAACTAATTACTGTGCTGTGTAAAGGCCAATTCACACTACACCAACAGACGACAACAGACACTTTGTCGGATCTTTCTGTTACCCCTGTCAGTTGGCGTCTGTCGGAGCTTGTTTGTACTGTAATCTGGTGATTGTCCACGTTGGTGCGGTGCAGTGCGAATTGGTCTTAAAAAGGTATCATAAAAGTTCAAATTTGTTTCACTCAAGTTATACACTGAATAAAAACACATGTGTACAGCTGAACATTACAAATACTGAAATATGTAAGTGGGGAAGAAAAGTAAAAGTTAAGAGTCACCGTGAAGTTGAAGGGGTACGCGTTCTGGCCTAGCTTCTTGAGCAGTCTCTCCTGTAGCCGACTGAGCGGTTTGCGCTCCTCAGGCAAAGGGGGAAAGGCCTGGAAACTGGAGATGAAGAGATCCTTTCGGAAAGAAAGGCCCAGCACGTCCAGGTCTTCACGACCATATCGGAAGGCACACGTCAGAGTCACAAACACTGGTAAAAAGGCACAAGGTACAGAGGAGAGAGACCGAAAAATAAACAATGGTTTTGATGAAGATTATTTAATGTTTAAAAAAATAACTTTGCAAGCAACACAAGAAAATGGAGATACAGTAAATCAATGTGTTACCTTTTCTGTCTTTTAGGTATTCTGGGTCAATCAAGAGCACCCCATCTAAAATCAGACAAAATACAGTGAGCGAATAAGAAGAGAGAGAAACTGCAAGAAGTCCCAGTATAAAGAGTACATAACTACTGGCCCCTAAAAAAAATCCTTTGCAAAACCTTATTTTATATTTAGTTTTTGAACTACTTTGAACTTGTTGCCATAAAAAATAAGATACATGTGCTAAACAACGTGTGTGATGGTAGTGGCTAAAGACTAAAAATCTGTCTGCACATGTACATAAAACAGTAATTAAATAAATAAATAAATAAATAATGTAGATTCTCACAAGAACACATTCTGTGTGAGCGGCCCTAAATAACCTCAACTGCAAAATGGGTCGGTATGGACTGCAAACTACAAACTGTTCAATGATTGGCCAATAAAACAAACAATATATTAACCTCCAAAAGCCACTTTATGTAAAGTCTATTTAATGAGTTACACATCTGCCAGAATAATGTCTTTGAAGTTAGAACTATCTTAATTTGGATGATTTATTTATTCTCAGATATAAACTGTGATATGTGATATATGATGAATTAATCAGTCTATCATGTAATTAATTGGATTCATTTTTTTTTTTTTTTTTGACAGCTCTTAATTGACCATTTTCTACAAAAAAAACAGAAAAATTACACTTTTAAGACATAGGACACATAGAAAAGGAAACTATAAAAAAATTAGAAGAAACACTAATGTTGAAAAGTCATAAGTTTAAAATAATTTTTTTAAATTTTTTTTAAAAGAAATTAATCCTTTTATTGAGCAAGGAAGCATTACATTAATCAAAAGTGACAGTAAAAGACATTTGTATTGTAACAAAAGATCTATTTTTCAAAACAAATTTTGTTCTATTGAAATTTCTATTCATCAAAGAATCCTTAAATTACATTTGTATTATATACTGTATTACATTTTCTACCAAAATATTATGCAGCACAACGGTTTTCAACATTTATAATAATAAGACATATTTCTTGAGGACCAAATCAGCATATAATGATTCTGAAAGATCATGCCAGCTTTGTCATCACAAAAATAAATTAAATTTTAAAATGCATTTAAACAGAAAATAGTTATTTTAAATAGCAATATTTCACAGTATTACCGTTTTTGCTGTATTTTTCGGTCAAACAAATTCTGCCTTGGTGAGCATAACCAGATTTTTATAAACATTTTTTTTTAAATCTCATGGACCCCAAACTTTTCAACATTATTGTCTTATTCTTTCAGCCTCCACAGAGGTTTGGATAGAATCACAGTCATAGAGACTATTAACACTATATAAGAGTTATCTTGTACAAGATTACCATGATAATATGTAATACTCCTGACAGAGATAATCTCCCCACACAAACGTAATGAGAGAAACGTCTATATCTCGCAGAATGAAGTCTCCTGTGACCGGCTGCCATGCAACAGGGAGAGAGACGTTCCCTCAACAGGGGGGATATGAAGAGAAACCAAAAATCTCACAGTAACATTATAGTTACTATAACATTATAGCAGGTAAGTAGGTAAAAAAGCATTAAATAGGTAATTAAACCCAGTGTATGTCCATTAACATCAACTGACTCAACAAAGACGCAGATGTTACCAAGGCATGAAAGGAAGTCGATTGGTTCAACAAAAACTCCCAAGATGTTTTGAGTGGGAACTCCCATCTGACTTACCTACAGGGTCCACGTGATCTAGATGATCCACAAAGTCCCTCTTCCCCAAGTATACTGTGAGCTAGAAAAAAGAAAACCAGAGACATGTTTGGGAAAACAGCACAAGTTTGAACTTGCTACACAAAGACCCTAGAGATAACGCAAAAAGCAAGTGGTGCCTCTATCAAGGAACTCACACACACAAACAATTTAATAAACGGCCTAAGGCATGCCACACTAACCCCTAGATGACCTACTCCCTTCCTGAAGACAACCCTTCTAGACGGCGTGATCTCCAAACACACATCCTCCACATGCAAAACGCTTTCCATTACAGAGAACGAAAGCGAGAGATGAGATGAGGGGATAGAGAAATTAGGTAGGAAGGCAGCAGCAGGGTGGAAATAGCCCGAATGCAAGCCGAGAGAAAGAAATTATAGAGGAAATAATGCTGTGATAACCAACACTGTGCTGATAAAGAAATAGTCAAAGGAAGAAAGAAGAGTAGAAAGAACAAACAAACAAATTAAGAAAGCGTTTAAAGACATGTATACAAAGGCAATTAAAAGGAGCTTAAAGAAGTGAACAGGAAGAGAAAACTCAGAGAGATGGATAGAGAATGAGGGAGGAGAAGCAAGAGAGAGAGAGAGAGAGAGAGAGAGAGAAAAGGAAAAGGTCCACTGAGACCAATGAAGATCCCACCTTCCACCTTCTAACACACTCTGGGGAATCTTACCTTGCAGTTGGGGCTGGACTTCTTGAAGACTCTGTAATGAGAGGAAAGAGAGAGAATGTCATATTAAAACCAAATGTATTTAGCAAAAAGGAAAGCACATTGTAGGATGAAATGTCTGTTTGAAGTTTACTGTTTTTGTGGAAAGCGGTTCATTGAAGTTGCTATTTCAGAAAGACCATGGTGATGCCAAATCCAGGAAATCAGAAAAGCTTTGTATTCAAAAGGAAGGCCAATTCATACTATTCAACAGAATATGAAATATCACTTTTAGTGTTTTTTTCATCCATTAAGGGTAGAAATTCAACACCCTCCAAGTGTCAAATGCAAAACTAGTTACAACTAGACATGTGACAGTCATTTATTTTCTTTTAAAATAAGAACTGAACATTTAAATACAATAAAACAATACACAAAAAATGTATAAAGTAAACAAATGTTTCAAACAGTTTATTTATCAGAATAAACACCAACAGTGATCAGGATTGCATCATTGGGGTTTACTCTGCAATAAGAACCGGCTGGATGTACATTATCCCGCTTATCAGCGGAGAGAGCAGTTGCTAGCGCGGCAAGTTCAAACTAGACGGACATTTAAGAGATACGGTATACAGTCATACCACTTATTACACAGCATTTTGCCACATACATAATTATGGGGATAAGAGATAAGTTACTGATTTGAGATGAAACTGTTTTAAAATCGTACCTGTTTGTTAAAAGTGTACAAAACAATAGTTGCAAAACGACAGCAGCTGCGTTTGTATGAAACAAGAGTCATAATTAAATAACTGTACAAAAAAAAATGATTTTACTTGTTTTAATATCTTATTATTTAAGTATTCCACAGAGCTGTGTAATAACGTTAGTTAACGCATTAACTATTTAAGTATTTAGTGCTGTGATGATAACCATTACGAAATCTGAATGGCTGTTTAAAACATTTAAATACTGCTCAGAAACAGAAAGTAGCGCAGCATTTCTGCTGTTCCATAAGTGTCATCTGCTGTCAGAGAGTGAATGTGCATTTTCATTCAGCGCGTCTGCTTCACCCGTTGCACCATGCGCTTCTCATCGGTGTTGGGCTTGTTCACATCAGAGTGCGCATGCCTCTTTGACGCAGCATACATGCAGTGCTGTACATTTTAACCAGTTGATGGAAAAGTATTCTTAAAATGCATTCTAAAAATCGGAATAATTCATAATAAATAATTATTCACGGTATTGAATAAGTGCCCATGATAACAATACCGGGCATGTTCATTATTGTGATGTATTTTATTACCGTATCAGCACATACATCCCATGGACCGTACATCCCCAGTAGGCCTTACTAACCCTACATTTATTAGGAATAGTTTAAACTGAATTTTAAGAATGGCGGTCTTTAAAAATGAAAAATAATACTAATAATAATAATATTTATAAGCCCTGGATGGAAGTGACATGCCCAAAAACAACAACAACTATTTAAAATATAATATAATATAATTTTCCATGTGGTGACAAATATGTGGAATATTCCTCACATTAGGGTGAAAAACACTTTTATTCCCAGTAAGAAACATTATTCACCTGCCATTAGCAGGTGCGGTAAAAAGTTACATTTGGTCCCCTTATCCAGGTTATTACAAGGCCTAGAAATATGAAAACCAGTGACCACCTGTGGTTAACCAATGCAATTACTCAAATATTATCTGTGGTTACATGGGCAAACACACACAATCTTTTCCCTGGGACTGAGAGAGACAGAGAAGAAGAGAAGAGGGACAGAAAGGGCAAAAGCATGACAAAAGGAAGGAAAGAAAGAAATGATTCTGCAAACAGAAAGCAGCTGGACAAAAGGAAGGGAAAAAGGCGGAGACGGACAAAAGAAGAACATAAAACAGTAAATGGGATAAACGCAGCTGCCCAGAAAAAGAGGGAAAGTAAAAGAGAATGAACAAGAGAGTTAGAGAGCTCACAAAAGAGATTGTAGGTGTCAGTGACTCATCTGAATGTTGGAAAAAATGAAACAGACAAAGACTGAAACATGAAAGAGTAGCTAAAACATAAAGGGAGGATAGAGAGAGCATGAAGAGAAGGCAGATAAGAGCAATATAGTATGTTCATAAACAAAGAAAATCATTTGTCCTTCCAAAACATGCATGACTTTTTTACTGTGGAACACAAAATGAAAGAGTTTAAATTGTCATTCTTTCCCATGCAATTACAATGAATGAAATCTGGAGAGTTAATACAACATGCACCATAACAGTATCAGAAAAAATATCAAATATCATATGATATTTCATATGTTCATATTCACACCGCACAGACAAATGCCAACAAACAAGTTGGCCGTTGGATTTAGAATTTGATGAAAAATAACTGTCACGTTCACACTGCCCCAACAGACACTGACAAACACTGATTGAACATGTTCAGTCGGGTGAAACAAACCCCGACCAACGCCAACAGGGGGTAACACACTGATCCAACAAAACCCGACAAACGTGTTTGTTAGCGTCTTATTCAATTTCATTATTTGGAAAAGAATGGCCAAGGTATTTGCCATATTTACATTTACAAACACAGAGAAAAAAATAAAGTCATACAGGTTTGGAACAACATGAGTTTGAATAAATGATAACAAAATTTCATTGTTGTGTGAACAATCCCTTAAACAAGTTACAAGTAATGCATTCTGTTACTATTTTTTTTGTTGTTGTAGAAATTCCAAGTAACATTACAAGCTACACTAAATAACCTAAATAATTGTTTAACATAGAAAAATACAATTTTAACAACTTAATCTCTCAAAGCATGTGATCAGCAAAGGACAAAAATACAATATACAATCTTTTCTTTCTTTAATAATCGTTAATTTTTTATCATTTAAATAATAAAATATATATTTTAAATGCTAAAACTGTTTTATTTGTATTATTATTATTCAAATTATATATATAAAAAAATAATAATAAAGTATAACTATGGAAAAATCACATCCGTGAGAGAAATAAAGAAAGGTGTAAACAACAAAACTGAGAAAAAGACATTTGGAAAGTCACATTTTGTCTTGCTAATGCATCTCTGGTTAATTCAACCAAAGTGAAGGTTAGCTATTAAGAGAAATGAGATAGTAGGTTAGATATGTTAGAGATTTTCCCCAACCCTCACATTTTTTAAATGCAAAAGTATTGCAAACTTCACTAACCCATTACTTTCCATAAAAAGTGACAATTTAGTCTAAATATGTACTTTAATTAATACTGAGAAAGAATGCAGAATGCAGCAGGAAAAGGAAGAGTGAAACCTCACTCTCAGCAGGAGGTGACAAAAGTTAACACTCAGCGGCCGAACCTTCAGCACAGGAAGACGGGAAACACCAACTGACACATTCACTAACCCCTCAAAACAATACACGGGTTACACAGGCTGCTCACGTGTCCACTAAACACTAGACAAGGAATGCTTGAGTTTATAAATGCATATGTGTGTTTCTTGAGTGAAATCTGATTATGGGCGTGTCTGTGATGTCATAAGTATGGACAGCATATGAGAGGAAATAGTCTCACCCTGCTCTAAGAGGAGTGGCGTCCCAGAGCTCCATCTGTTTCGAATGACGGAAAAATAACAGCATGTGCTTTCTCCCACTTTATTCCTTTCCCTTCTTTTTTAGAGTCACTCTCTCTCTCTCTCTCTCTCTGAATCACCATCCCTCAAATCATTATGTCATCTATGCATCCCAATCCAAACCTCTTTAAACAGCCTGTTCTCCAAGGGGTCATCAGGGTTTGGCTGCCTAGCATGGCCCTGCTGGCCATTGATTGGAGATGCTGCCTGGAACTACGTCATTATGGGGACAAAAGCATCTTTCACTATTGACGGCTGTTCAAAAGTACATGTATCCTAACAAAATACATTTTTGGCTAACAGTATGTATATAGTGCAAATATATCATAGTTGTGGAGGGCCATTAAAAGCAGATTGGCCCTAAAATGTCCAGTTTCTCTATCTGCTGTCTTTCTTTTTAATTAGATAGTCATTTAGAGAAGGGTTTGTCACGGTGTGCCTACAGCGTTGTTAAGAAGTCATTTCCTTCAGCTCCAGAGTAATTAGCCACATAGAATTTATGGCTCAGGTGACTGGCTGGGGGGGATACTACTTCTAATAATAGATAAATAAAACTGTATCCAAAATGAGTGCCCTATGAGCAAACATGCCAAATTAAAATTTACCTAATTTAAAAACAAACAAACCATATGTTTGAATAAAACTGTCTCCAGAAACGAGTGCCTATAAGAAAACATGGCAAGCAAGCAAGAAAACAACTAGCTAACTAAATAGATAAACAAACTCTGTAAATGAGTAAACATAACTAAATATGGTAATTAAAAAATAAAAAACAAATGTATACATATATATATTGAGAGAGAGAGAGAGAGAGAGAGAGAGAGAGAGAGAGAGAGAGAGAGAGAGAGAGAGAGAGAGAGAGAGAGAGAGAGAGAGAGAGAGAGAGAGAGAGAGAGAGAGAGAGAGAGAGGGAGAGAGAGAGAGAGAGAGAGAATCTCTCTTCTCACAAACACAGTTCAGAGAACTGCTTTGAACTGACAGCAAAACACTAGCACTCTGAACTGGAAGTGGATTGTGGCCATTACCTCTCACCGACATAAAACCACACAGACAAGTCAACCAAAGTGTGTCAGTAAACTCACACATGATGTTCCACCCACTTGAACATTTTTAAGTGCCAAGCAAACGTCTGTGAAGAGGAATATTATGAGGAAGACTTCTTGTAGACCCATTGCCATGGCCCGGCACTGTTAGGCTGTTTGTTTACAGACAGAGATAGATGGAGACTGTTGACCCCATCCTCTTCAGTCATGAACGCCAGCTCAAATCAGACTCAAAGAACATCAAACAATGGGCTTGTAGATGCCAAACAAGCACACACAAACTTCTGAAAGTTCTGAAATGACAAGAACAAAGAAATGCCCGCTGCTGGGATGCCACATTTATCAAAATGACACAAGACACAAATACACCCAC